TCTATTTGACTTCAAAATGAATCATTTTCGTAACTTTCCGCCCAGTTTCAAAGCTTCAAACCGAAAAACTAGCAACCAAAACCTCTAACATGAGCAATGTGGCGTGGAAATGCCATCCCTTTGATGTGGAAAACAGTCAAGAATCACATATCCAAGGCTAGTTAGCACGAGTAACGAGACGAGAAGCACACAATTAGCGATGGGGCGCCATTCATCGGCATCGCATGCAAATTTTCTCGGTCCACAAGCTTGACAACCGCAGCAGAGACACCTGCGCAAACGAGAAAATCGCCTCCTTTTCGGGTCGGAAACCGTACCTGCACCAGGTAAAATGTTGACATTTTGGCCAATTTTCGACGTCAAGAGCTCTATAAAAGCCTGGGGTTTGGGAAAATGAACACTACTAGATAAAAATGAGTATTTTGACTTCAGAGGTACTCAAAGAGTCGTAAAAGTTCCGAGAAAACCGTACCTGCACCAGGAATATAGGTAAAATATGGACATTTTTTGCGGTTTTTGGCGTCGGATGAAGCTTGTGAAAAATGAACGTACGTTCTTGAAACCAGATAAATCACTCCAGAGGTTCTCAAAGGTGTGGAAAGGTACTTAGAGCTCCGAGAAAATCGTCAAACGGACCTGGACCATGACATTTTGGGCAATTTTTGACGTCGGAGGCTTTTGGACGCTTGGAAAATTGGTAGAATGAAAATACTCTATAGAAACTGGACAAAATCACTTCAAAGGTACTTAAAGGATTCGGAAAGGTACCTAGAGCTCCGAGAAAATCCCTAAAACCCTGCACCATGAATATTTGTAAAATAAGGACATTTTGGGCGTTTTTTAACGTCGAAGGCTACTTGGATGCTAGGGGTTAGGAGAATGAACGATGGTAGTTGCAACTGGAATAATTTACTTCAGAGGTTCTGAAAGGTCCGGAAAAGTTCCTAGAGGTTCGAGAGAACCGCCAAAAACGTACCTGCATCAGGAATATTGGTACGATTGGGCAATTTTTGGCGTCGGAAGTTATTTGAAAGCTTGTAACTTGGGAAAATGAACATTCCTAGGTAGAACTGGATAAATTCCCTTCAAAGGTTCTCAAGGATTCGGAAAGGTACTGAGAGTTATAAGGAAGCCATCAAAACGGACGTGGACTATCAATATTGGTAAAAATGGACATTTCGGCAAGTTTGAAAGTCGAGGGCTATGTGGAAGCTTGGAAATTGGGAAAAGAACATTTCTAGAAGAAACTGGGTATTTTGACTTCAGAGGTTCTCAAAAATCCAAAAAGTTGTTAAAGCTCCTAAAAAGTCACCAAAACTGCACCTGTACTCGGAATATTGCTACAATAAGGACATTTTGGGCGATTTTCGACGTCTAGGACTCTATGGAAGCCTGGGGTTTGGGAAAATGAACATTTCTAGATGAAACTGGATATTTTAACTTTAGAGGTTCTCAAAAATCCAAAAAGTTGTTAATGCTTCTAAAAAGTCACCAAAATTGTACCTGTACCAGGAATATTGGTATAATGGACATTTTGGACAATTTTTTGACGTCGAATGCTATTTGGAAGCTTAGAATCCGAAAAAATGAACTTTGGTAGTTAAAAATGGATTGATTAACTTTAGAGATCTTCAAAGGATTCAGAAAAGTTCTTGGAGTTTCAAGAAAACCACCAAAACCGAACCTGGTCCACGAATATTGATAAAACGCAGACGTTCATGACAACCTTGGAGCAAAAAAGCCATTTCGAAGCTTGGAAGGTTCAAATAATGAGTGGCCGCTAAATACCGGCTTTTTTTATACTTATATATAAAAAAATATTTATCAGACGTACGTGAAAAAAATGGTCCTTAAGTTGAGGACCTTAACTCTAAAATTTTTAAACTCTTCCCTTTTTAAAAAGACCTCAAAACTTGGGAGGGATCACTATAGGGTCAAGATTACTTCAACAACTACGTTGTCTAGCAAAAAATAAAAATTTTAAAAACTTCCTTTCTAAAGGTTCTCAAAACTCGGGAGGGATCACTATAGGGTCAAGATTATATGAAACAAGTTTTTTTTTTATTTTTCTGAGACTCTTCGGAGAACGGAACGGTTATAAAGATTACATGATAAAAATTACAAAAATATTTATGGAAACTTCATAAAAGCCACTCCTACACGGATATTCACATGTAAAAAAACCTCTGAACGCCTAAAATTTGATGAAAATTATTCAAAAAAATTTGGGTTTTTGAAGACTTTTGACATTTGGAACTGAGTAGAGAAGATGAAAAAATTCTATAAAAAGCGAATTTTTCTTTAAAAAAAATTATTAGCTTTGAAAAAAACCTGTAGAAAGTCCATAGTCATAGATCACGTTATAGGAATAATTTATTAAAATATAGAGCTTAATTGATAATCAAAGGATATTTTTTTGAAGCACTGAGAAGTATCCAAAGAGTTTAAATTTCCAGAGGTCGAAATGAAGAGATCAGCGATTTTTTGCGGTTCAAAAGTCGTTTGTTGAACTAAGAAGCTGGGGAAACCAGCAGTCCCAAAGAACCATCAAATCGCGTCGTTTCAGCCAGCGAAAGCTCATTCCGCCTCCCACCGCAGCAACCGGGTACAAGACTTTCGAGGTTGGATAAATCACAGAAAAATTGGGAGAAATAATATGGTAAGAAGTCCGAAAATAATGCGTCTTTTAGTAAAATTCGGCATAAAAGTCAGAAAAAATGATGTCAAAAAATCGTTTTGGATTATGATTTTACAAAATTGAACACATATTTGGTGCCATTAGGTCCGATTAAATTGGAGATCTGCACTCAATTTTTGAATTTTCACTGATTTTTAGAAGGTTCAAGCAATCTGGATGCTTTTTAAAGACAAGATTATCATAGAAAAAGTCCAAAAACGAAAAAAATGCCCAACATTATTCGCCATCTTTCAACCTGATAAAAGCTATTTTTTCGAAAGATAATGCTTCTAAAAGTCACGAGGAAAATCAGAGAAAAAAAAACGAAAAAGACAATTTTAATCAAATAGAACTGTATTTTAACATTTTTAAATGAATTATTGAAACTTTAAGCAATTTAAATGCCTTTTTTTAAAAGCAATTTTTTTATAAAATCAAGTTTAAAAAAATCAAAAAAATGAAATACTAGCTGGAAGTCTTCAAAGGCAAGTTTAACTGAAAAACTGCATAGTTGGGATTTTTTCCCGTAAAACTAAAATACCGTCCAATTTACATCCGTTAATACCTATCAACCTGGTAAAAGCTTTAAAAAAATACGTGAAATTACGTAAAAACGAGTAAAAGCAAACAAAATCCTTCAAATTTTCCTGTGGAGCGCCCAACAACACAATTTTTCAATGAAAAACCACAAAATCCTCAAAAAAATATGAAAAATACAGTCTGACAGGGGGCAACTTGGCTATTTTGAAAGCAAAACCCGCATCAGGCGGTCTCTACCTCTTGCCATTCTCGAAAAACCTTGGCCAAAACGAGCAGGTGAGCCCTGAAGGTCACTCTTTTTTTTTCGGAACGTTCCGTGTTAATGAGATTTCGGCTTGCTATGGTGGAGAGAACGGGATTCTACCAGAAGAATCATGCAAATTAATTGAATCTTTGAAAGGAAATTGAAAGCAAACACAATTTAAATGATGAAAAGTGAGAAAAAGGTAAAAGAAGAATTCAAAACTAGCAAAAATTTGCTTTCACGGTTTGAACGGTCAATGTCCGCAAAGTCAGAAGAAGACAAAAAAAACTTTGCTTTCGGACGTTCGCTTGCTTTTCAAGCGCTGTTCGCCCAGACGTGGAGCAAATAAATGATAGTGACGCACCGAGAGAGCAAGAAAGTAAAAGAAAAAACTATGAACTTTTATTTAATAAATTTCCGTAAAAATAAAGAAAACGTCTCGTGAAGTAAAATGCTTGAGCCGTTGGCTGTAGTGTACACACAAATTCAAGCTACAGTACTGCTTCGATATATTTTTTTTCTGTTTTTTTTTTTCACTTCACAAGTTATTATGTCTGCCTTTTCGAGCTACAAGAAAAAAGTTGATAAATGGAATAGTTCAATGCATAAAAACTTCTCCAGTCGAAAAAAAGAGTCCAGGGAAAGAACAAAAGAAAGGATAATACTCAAGAGAGGATAATCTGTGATGATACCAATATCAGGAAGAAAACTGCCGATGTGATAACGATAGGGGAAATAACGACTACTTTTTAGTGTTGCGCGATTGGAGAGAAGATCCCGACGGATAGGATAGAAAAGGGAAAACAACGGTTTCGGTTTGATTTCAGGTGGGTTAACCCAAATTTGAGACGGTTCTGGGATTTCAAAGGGTTTCACTATCCTCAAAAGCGATTATCAGACAGATTCAAAAGGACTCTTGAATGAAACAGGAAGGAAAGAACAGGCGAAGCATATACTAAACAGGTGAGGTGAAAACGAGGCTTTTCGCTGGGTACCGGGTAACCTGATACCAGCTGGGCGCCGCGCTCAATCTTCCAAAAAAGGCACAATAAAAACGAGCAGCTGAACACGAGTCGCAGAGCCAACAAAGCGAGAAAAAGCGGCACCCGGCTGAACCGTTTAGACGTAGTTTTGAACCAAAAAGAGCTTTCTTGGCTGTTTTGAGAAAGTGTTGAAGGGCTACTCCAACCTGCGACACTTCCGTGGCGAAATTAGAGGATAATTGAGGCCCTCTGCGGTATCTGGTCCTCTTCATCTTGGCGACTTCTTCAAAACTCGCACCCGCCTAATGTTCTACTCGAGGATTTGCATGCCAATTTGCAAGTTTAGCGAAAACTAAGCCATTAAAGACAGCGCTTAGCGAGACACTATCATTCTCACTCACACGATTTCAATTTATAACCTCCATCTACACTTTCCCCATTTTGATACGAAAACCATCTATTTCTTGTTTAGGTAAACCTCATAAAATTTAACTTTACATATGCTTATATCAAATCAAATGAAAACAAAACAAATTTATGTAACAAAAACGTCAATTTATTGCTTCTTGCGGAAAGAGCATCCCTCGGTAAGCTTCGCCTTTCCACCGGTCGGCTGGCAAAGAACGGTGTTGCATCCGACGCAAACGACGACGGTGGTGGCGTGCGAGAAAACGGTCGTGATCTGAAACATCAACCCATAAGTAAATTTAAAAAGGTACAGAAAATAGTTATTTTAAAACTGTCAACAGCTCAGTCCTGAAGGTTCTCTATTTACTTTTTCAAAGTGCGCACAGAATCGAAGTTGCTACATAGTAAAAACCATAGCAATTTTTCTCGATTATAAAACTTTAATGGCAAATTCGTTTGTTTTTTCCTTTCAGAACAAGCCCTTGGGAGCCCAAAAGCTTCAGAAAAAAAGAAGTTAAAATTCGCAGTTCATCTAAAAAAACATGCTGTGTTCAAAGTGATAGCCGCCAGAGAAAGAAAAAGATAACTAAAATTTAGAGTCAGAATTAAATTAACATTTTGCGGAAATAAAGTTGAACATGGAATATGTAGAAAATGAAATATTCAGACTACATTAACTCAAAAAATGTTCACCCTAAGGCATATATAATTCAGTGAATTTCAGCAAAGTCTTGAACACTTTACTAAACCCTATCGATAGGATAAATGAAGATGAAGTAAACGAAATTAATTCTTCATTCGCAAGTGACATCATTCACAAATATATTTCTGCTCGTAAACAAATGACGTCATCTTGTTTTTCTTGATTAAAAAAAAAAGTAATTTTACTGCTTAGATAAGTGGTATGAAAAACAGAATAAATTAATCAAGAAAAAAACGCTTATTTTAGATTTAAATGGAATTGGAGAATGATGTTTCAAAGTGAGCGTGTAACGTTCAGAAACAGAAACAAAAAAAATTAATCTAACCTTGAAGCATCCGGGGCACTTGACGTCCATGAAGAACGAGTTGGGGTGCTGAACAAGGCGCTTCAGCTTGTGTCGCTGGCGCTCAGCTTCTGGTTCGGGGTGCAGCAAATCAATAGCCAAAGGCATTTTATTCCACTTGTTGAGCTCGGCTGTAAAGGCGAGACTTGAAAATTTCAGACAGAAAAACGCTTATATACGGACGCGGCGGCATACGCGAGAATTTCGAAATATTTCGGAATATTGCGTAAACAACATGCGTGCACTTTTAAAAAAAGTGGCGAGATTATTCAGAGCTCGAATGACACATGGCCGTTTTTTTACTGGTGTGATTCTAATTGAGAATAAAAGCATCTTTTCTGTTGATATAAGCAGATGACTGGGATCTGAGAAACAAACTTTTGAAGAAAAAAAAAGAAAGTGTCAAGTAAAAGAGAAGGAGGAAATAAAATTAAAAATGAGAAGAGTTTATTAACAGCAGTGAGGGATTCAAAAGATAGAGAAAATATAAAGAAAGTCTTGAACAAACTTTCGTCCATTTCTTTTTCTTTTTCTTGGGCACTTTTTGAACTCATTTTTTTGCTGAAATAAACCTTTCCGAACATCAAAGTGCATTAAAGAGATATTTGCGATTACAATAATGAAAACAATTACAGATCAAAAGCAATTTTAAAAAAATAAAAAAAATAACAAAAGAAACAAAATGGGAAAAAAATTTTTAGGCCAGCGACGACGCGATCGCCGAGCCAATACGCCTCAATGGAGCGAGTTTTCGCTGGCCGAGCGTTTTTAGGATTGTCGTACTGGCGTTTTGAAGTCTGTTTTCAGTTACTTTTTATTTTATTTTCTTATTCCATTTTATTCATAGACCTAATGCTTGATGGAAACGAAGATGATAACGCAGCGAGAGGCGAAAAGGCAGTGGCTGATGAGGTACAGTTATTATCAGAATTTAAAAAATGAAATGAACTTTTTGCAGTAACCCTGGTTTTGAGATATTTGTGTTAAAGTTATTTTACAAGGTTAAAATAGTTAAAAAAAATATTTTCGAATTTCTGAACTAATATTTATGTGAAAGATAAAAAAATTAGTTTTAGGAATCGTTAGAAAGCGATGACACTGAGCTTTTGAATGATGAAGAAGAGTCGACAGAAGATGAAGACGAGGAAGTTGATGAGGACGAAGACGAAGAGGAAAATGAAGATGAAGATGAAGAAGAAGAAGACGTTGAACTTGAAGGTAGCGAGGGAAGTGAAACCAGCGAAACAGACGGTAAAGTCGTTTTCTCAAGACTTTATCATTTTATAACGATTTCAGAGTCTACGGAAGGCGACACAAGCGATTCAGACGAGTCAGTTTGGTCGACGAGGGGCGAAATCGTCGAGGCGACACATGAAGCCGAGGTTTTCAGTTGAAGAGCTGCTAATTCAAAATAAGTTTCTTTTCAGGAAGCCCTATCGATGCGAAATTTTCACCGAGCTTTGGAATTGATGATCGAAAACAAAGAGGAAAAGGCTGTCGAGATTTTCAAAAAGCTTCTCAGAAAATCGTACATTTCTCGGTTTGAAAGGCCGATTGTTGAGATTTTCTTCGACGAGGACATCACCGAGGATAAAGAGAATAAGTTAGTTTATAAGATTGTAAATGAGAAATTTTTTTTTCCTTTTTTTTTTGCTGCTCCGGCGGGCCTAAAATTTAATTTGAGAAATAGGAGGTTTAGGATTTTTTTCAGAATAGTCAGTTGGTTAGTCCTTATACCTGCTCTTCAAGCTCAATTTTGTTTAGTTTTGGAAATTTTCTGAAAAGTCTGGTGTTTCTTTCTCAGAAAGGTCCACATTTTAAAGATTTTTGCAGGATATTTTGTTGCATTTGTGTACATTTTGCTCCGAAATGGAGTATGTTTTGTATAAAACCAGATTTCTCCCCCGACACAAAAATTATTTTTGACAGGCTTAGCAAAATGGGCAAGCTGTTCGTGGCGATTCACAAAAATTTGGCAAAATTAGAGGAGGATCAAGCAATTTATCACTATTTACAAGTAGTTTTGTTCATTTTTTTTCAAATATATTTGCTTTTTGAGGTTTTGAATTTGGCACCGAATAATCCCGAAGTTTGGTTCGACGTCGCCATAAAGAGCGTTCACACGGGCGACTTGAACTTTGCCAAGTCGGCCTTCAGAAAATGCGATTTTGTCGATTCGGCTGAAGCCAGGGCCACTACGCTCTTCATTTCTTATGATTATAAAGGTTTGAGAGCACCAATTTTTCAAAAAAATAGTATTTGGCAAGTCATTTAGAACCTTTTTTTCAATGCTAAAGGTACCTTTTTGTTCTCTATCTTTTTTGTGAGGAATGTTTATGAAACCTGTGAAAAAAACAGATTTTTTTCAAATTTTTCTTACTTTGATCCATAAAAGTTAGTTCAAAATCTCATTTAAACGTCTAAATTTACAATTTTCACATCCTTTATGGAAGCTAATGTGTGAATATCTTTGAAAGCTGTATAAATATCTAATTTTTAACTGTCAAATGTTTTTTTTAATCAACAACTTCATTTTTTTTCACGGAATCGAAATTTTAACTCCCATTTTCCAGAATGCCTGACCGTTCTGAGAGAATTCGAAGAGCGTGGACACTCATTGAATGATAAAATGATATTTTTGAAGAATAGCATCCGTTCCTCAAGTGATTATCATAAGTACCTTGCATCTAAAAAAATTACCTTAAGTTTAAATCTTCCAGAGAACTATGCGATGAAATATTCCAGGAAAATGAACGCTACAATGGAATCAAAACCATTCATATGACCAAAATGAATGAGGTTTTTAGCGGATGAAAAAAAAATTATTTGATTTTTCCAGTACAAAAGTCGCATCGAAGCACTGGAAAATAAAATTCGGAAGGCGAATGAAGAAAAATGTGCCGATATTTTCAAGGAAGAAACCCTAGAACCCGTTTTTTTGGACATTTTTTATGATCAGGAGTGGGTTTTTTTTTCGAATTGGTTCAGTAAAAACGAGAATTCAAAGAATCTTTATGGAATTTATGCGTAGTTTACAGTTAAAAAGATAGGAAAAGTCGATTTTTCAGCGTTCCTATTCATTCTACGGATTATTTTGTACTCTCGAATCATCTAAAAAGATTTCACTGTTATTATTTAAATCTTGAAACTGTTTTTTGAGTTCAAAGATGAAAATTCAGGTGATAACTCAACATTCTCCAGTCATTTCTTTCTATTTTTCCTAAATTTTCAGCCTCGAAACTGTCGGAACAATTTTCTGCGACTTATATGATAGGATCGAAGCTTTTTCATCGGTTTGTTCCACTTTAAATTTCATTATTTAGGTTTTTTTTGTTAAAGCTTATGAGCTAGTTGAGTTTCTCACATGGAAAATGAAATTTTTTTGAATGTACAAAAGTCTTAACATATTTTCCACTTCGATAACCAAAAATATGAGTTTCCGGCTTCAAATAATACATTTTTAAGTAGTTGAAATGTTTTTCTGTTGTGAGAATGAACAATTCAAAAAAAATAAAAGAAAAAAGATGCCGCAATAAAAAAAATTTTCAATGAAAAATGTTCCAGCTCCACCGTCAAAAAATCGTTTTCCGGGAGTGGGGCGACCGGCGGATGTACTTTGACGTCAAAGAGACACTGGAAGACATTCTGGACGTGGTGGAGGTCGTGGAAGATCTGACGGAGAAAGTCTCCAAAAAAGCAGTCCGACAGAGGAAATCCGAGTTCACGTGGAGTTGGACTCCGCGCGCGGCCCCTACTGTTCGCATTTTCGAACCGTCCACCTCTCAAGACAGTTCTCCGGCAAGGGAGGAAGATTCCGAATGCGACTCCGGTTGCGAAACGACCACGACGTCGGATGAAGACGTGGAAATGGCGCCGAAAGTCGTGCTCCCGAAGAGTGATGTCAGTGGTGTTTTTTGAGACTGAGACTTTCTTTTTAAAAATGAGCTGGATTTCCTGATTTTTATTGAGCTTAAGGGGTTGCTAGGAACGTTAAATTTTCTTCATCTTTGACTGAAATCGCCTTGGACCTTTTTTATAATAATTTTCGTAACGTTCTTGCCAATCTTCATTGCTTTTTCTCCGCCTGATTAAATATATCAGTTATCACACAATTTTTCAATGTAATCCAAATAAGATGATACTTTTCAGCTCGCCACGAGCCTCAGATTGAGCTGTTCCACTTCGTTTGAACCAATCGAACCGCCGAAAATTGATAAAGAACTGTTCGTTTTTCAATTTTTTCAAAGTCCATATCATATTTTTGAGGTTAGTAGTTGAAGATGTCAAGTTTTTCGACGAAGAAGCTGTTCTGGAAAAGCTCAGGGGGACGTTGATGGGCAAGGAGATGCGAATGTTCGATGTATTAGGTTTTTTTTTTGAGTTTTCACTGTTCCAAATAGGTTTTGAGAAGTTTTTTTGAACTATTATATGGTTTTATTTCTTTTTTTTTGCAAATTTTTAAATTTATGCTTTTGTTATTTTTAAGTTAGACTTTATTTATTCAACAGATAAAGTCAGAAATGTTTTTTGAAATTTACGATTTTTTTTTTCAGAAGCCTTTCTTTTGACAATCTGCGATTTTTGTCCAAATCAAGGGGCTGTTCCAGAGGAACTGAAACTTGTACTGACTCAGTGTTATCGGAGGTTCAGTTTGATTTGAAAAATCGAACAAAATTTGTTTTTTAGGCTGATAAATATCGATAAAAGATTGATGGAGAGCAAATATTTGGAGCTTCATCAGTTGATGTACGAATTGGGTTAGTTTTCATAAGAGAGAGATTAGAGAATTATTGATAAAATATAATAAAAAAATCAATAAAAATCAACCAAAACTGGGAGACATTGATTGAATGCGCAACACATCTTAATTGAATCACCCTGTTTTTTTCAAGCTTTTTTTTTTCAGACGAATTGGAAGCTCAAACCTACTGCCGACGGGCTTTTTCTGAAGATTTCCCTTTCTTCACAACCGAAGATCAACTCGACGAAGATTTTCGAGCCCGAAAATCAACTTTATCTCCGGTTTTGGTGGAAATATGCTTTTCGGTGCGCATCAATTGACGCTTTTCCCCCACTGGGACTGGATAATCCTGGGTTTTCCATGAATTTTTCGAAATTTTCGTGATTTTTGAACTTCAGAATGTACCATATTGAACTGCTCGCCAAGTTTCTGAACGAGGAACAGGTTGTTTTAACGGCTAATGGTGGGTTTTTTTTTTCAAATAAGATTGGAAAATACTCATTTTAAACCGGTTTTGAGTGTAACTTCAGTTTCTTTCAGTGGGATTGTTCATAAAATAATATCAAATCGTGGTTTGACCTTATTTGGAGCGATAAGGAATGGCAAAAAGTTAAGCAGACCAAAAATAGTCTTCTGAACTTTTAAGCAGACCAAAATTAGTACTTTAAAAAGTTAAGCAGACTAAAATTAGTACTTTAAAAAGTTAAGCAGACCAAAAATACATTTCTAAAGTGTTAAGCAGACCAAAACAGTTTGAACTTGAAAATTAGTACGTTTTTGCCATTTTCCAGGATCATTTTCACGGAAAACCGTCATTAATGTCATCAACCAAGCGATTCAAAACGATTTGCTCGACGCCGCGGTTGGGTCTCGCTCTGAAAAAGATCTTGAAGAGGTATTTGGGGAATCTTATTTGAGCATTTCACATTAAATAATTTTCCAGTTGAACAAGTTCTTTGAAAGCGACCAACAAAAACAGTACATCAACTTTTCGACGTTGTCACCACGGGATTGGCGAGCGTGGATGAGGATTTGGCTCGATGTTTGCCTGAGATTGAAGCAGATCGAAGAGTTCTGCGTTCTATGTGTCAGGTAGTAGTTTTTTTCCGGTATTTCTTTGAGAGTAAGATTTAAACGTTCTTCTCTCTATCTGAAAACTTTATCAATCACAGTTTTTTTTTGAAACTCGTCTTTTGAATTTTTTTTAAAGCGAACCTTGTTAATGAAAGCTTTTTTCCTTCTTTTTTTTTTGGCCTTACTCTTACTGAACCCATTCTCCAGACTATTGTACTTTGTCGTAACTCACGAAGAGCTAAACGACCAGTGCGATGGAATGCTGAGAGAACTGGCGCTGACTTTGGTAGACGATCTTGCCGCAGTCGATTGGAAGAATCTCGTGAAACCCGACTTGACCTCATCTATCGGCTACTTCTTGTGCGTCCTAAGCACTTGGGACGAACTCCAAGGCGAAACAAAATTGTGGTTTTGCCTTGCTGATGTCGTCAGGGCTTGTAACGGTAATTTTTTTTTAAGCAGACCAAAGAAAGTTAAGCAGACCAAAGAAAGTTAAGCAGACCAAAGAAAGTTAAGCAGACCAAAGAAAGTTAAGCAGACCAACGGAAATAAAGTTAAGCAGACCAAAGAAAGTTAAGCAGACCAAAGAAAGTTAAGCAGACCAAAGAAAGTTAAGCAGACCAACAGAATAATAGTTAAGCAGACCAAAGAAAGTTAAGCAGACCAAAGAAAGTTAAGCAGACCAAAGAAAGTTAAGCAGACCAAAGAAAGTTAAGCAGACCAAAGAAAGTTAAGCAGACCAAAGAAAGTTAAGCAGACCAAAGAAAGTTAAGCAGACCAACGGAAATAGAGTTTACTAGACCGAATTCCACTTTATCATTTTTTTTTTCCAGAAGACGTGGATATCATCGGACACATTGAATCACTTGATCGCATCAAAAATGCGGATTCATTGCCGACTTTGGAACTTTTTGTGCTTCTTTCTGCGCATCGAAAGCTCGGCGATCATGGCTCTTGCTGTGAAAATGAAGTTTTATATTTTATCCATAATATCAGTACCGAAAGTTTTAGGGTCAATTCTTGCTCCATTATATCGACAAGATTCGGGATCTCATAGAGCGACCCGAAGTGCTGGAATGTCTCTTGAAGTTAGAATAAAAGTTTTTTTCCCGAAATATGAATACATTTTTAGTAAAGAAAACGCCTGGCTCTGGGAGAATGTACAGTCGGAGATCGCTCAGTGCCTTGGATGTCTTTTTGGGTGGGTTTTCAAGGAGGAAATCGAAAATATTTCGCAACAAATTTCAGAAAATACTCGAAAAAAAGAAAACCCGTCAACCAGGATGACCACAATTGTCCAGCGGACGTCTGTAAACTTGATGTTGGCGTCGCTCGAAGAATTCTGCCGGTCGCCATGAATTTTCCGCTTCCTCTTTATGATGATAAGGTACATTCAGGGAAAATATCATTTTTCTTGAATATAAATGGTTTTTACGCGATATTTCAATGCTAAAACAAGGCTTTTGTTCGATTTTTAAAAGGAGAACAGGGTTTCTAGATTTATTCTTTTTTAGTTTCGTTTCGTAGCGCTAGATCAGTTTTTCCGGAAAAGGAATTCGATATAAAGATAAGGCATCAACATAATAGTTTTCTTGTTCCTTTAAAACAACCCTAGAACATTAAAGATGACGTCTTTTTTTAACTTTAACACTACTTTTTCTTTTCCTGGGTTTCTGTACAAATCTCTTCATTTTTTCTACAGAGCTATTAATTCAACATGAAATAATTTTTAAGGAACGCCTTGGCCATGACGTCGTTGACCTGATAACTACAAAGTTCGAATTTATACTCAAAGTTGATGAAGACCGTCAAAAAGTCGTCGAAAATTTCCAATTATGTCTCAGCTCTTCAAACTCCCACAACATCGAAGAGTTCAAGTTGATAATTGTTATATTTTCTCAACTTATCAAGTAATTTTGAAGAGACAAGTTGGAAAATCTGATGAATGTGGAGGAAGAAGACGTCCAGGCCCAAGTTTGGTACGTCATGGCCCTGAACAGTTATCGACAGAGTGATCATCCGAATGCACAGAAATATTCAGAGGTTTCAGAGAAAAAAACGAAGCTTGAATTAAAGATATGTTTTTAAGCTGTACCTCACCAGCCCCTGTCTCACTAAAAAATCAGCGACTTCGCGCCTCAGCCTGGGCGATTTTGGCACATGAACATGTTCATGCCCTTGTTTTTGGTGCGTTTTTGAGATTCCACTTTAAAAAAAAAATATTTCGAGAAAGTTACCGTATCTAACGATTTGAAACTCATTCCTTGAAAAGTAGCTGATCTTTCGAATTTTTTGATGTTTTGTGGGTATATCAGGTATATTTTCCGTCTGAAAAAAACTCTCTGCTTTACTAGTTTCATGAAAAAAAGGATGTAGAAGTCTTTAATGTTTTTCAAAACGAAAATATTTTTTTGCCTCAAACAATGAAATTTGACTTTGAGTGCTCGATTACTTTGGCAAGGACTATTGAAGGGTTTTCTTGGAGATTTCTTTGATTCGAAATAATATTAATAAAACGTAGTACACATTTATTCAGTCGTCAGAAAAAGATTTCTCTACTGAATCATGGAATAATTGATGAGTTGTTTCTCAAATTACGAAGCTGTAGCTGATCAAGGATGACCTTTTTGATAGCAATAGCCGAGTTTTGAACCTCACGACGATCAGCTGCTTCCCCATTAAGGAGCAGGTTGGCGCACAGTTTGTCCAAGGCTGGTGAGCTTCGGATTAAATCTGAGGCAGAAGCGGAATTGAAGACCGACCTCAAAAAAGGTTAAAATGAGATAAAATAGTACGCTTTTGAAGAATAAATCTGAAGAACTTGGAGCCTGTCAAAAAATGCTCCCAATTTTATGGGATACGTAGAGCGTTCTTCAGATGGAAGCCTACGATATGTACGAGCAGTGGCGGTGGAGAATCATGCCGTTCCGAATGGCCTTGGACGCAGAGCCAAACGAGGCGATTATTCATTTCGAGCTGGCCGCGACCCTTTACCAGTTGGCCACTTCCTTGTCTCGGTTCATGTCCAGGGTTCGTGGAGATCGAAGAAAAACATTTCCCTTTTTTTTTGATAGTTGTAGCCAATTTTTGAGCGTTTCAGCGATCAGCTGCTTCTCCATGTAAGAGCAGGAAGGGCCCAGATTTTTCATCCCTTCCAAAAACATGATTTTGAAAAAGGGGACAGTTCGAAAAGACGAAAATTTTGAAAGTCCTAAAAGCAAGCCCTTTTGAAGATCGGCCAAAGACTTCAGCATTGTGACAAGTTTCTTGTTTGGAGAAAGAAGAGATTTAGAAGTTGAGATCGAGATCCGCCCTTTTGAGAAGTAGATTCAAAAAAATTTTTTTTGATTTTTTATGGCATTGATTCAATTTTTCCAGCTGGAAAGACGATGACTACCGCAAAAATCGAAAAAGCTCCCGAGTAATGATTTCCGAACTTCGAAACGAGGCTCGTCGACATTTCGATGAATGCCTGGCCATCGCTCTGCCCACTCACGTCGTCGCCGACCCGGAAACCTTCTCAAATACGACAGATCCTCACGAATTCCAGTGGCTCTGCTACTTCTTCATCGCCAAACTCAACGCGAAGGAGAAGGATTACGATGTTGTTAAGGTTGGGAAAGGGGGACTGGAGCATAAATGGGCAGACCATTTTTTAAAGGCCGTACTTTCAAAATTTTAACGTTTTTTCGCCCGTTTCTGAATTCAGAATGTTCTTCGATTCGCTTTATTAACTTAAATTTGATCAATTTGAGAGTTATTGGACTGTTTTTTTGGAGCACTTTCTTCAGCCATTAACCCCGAAATTTAATGATTTAATCGCTTGAGTGTGATTTTGAAGCATTTTGAAGCGAAATGACGCGATTTTTTTGAGGAGCTCCAGCTCATAAGAACAAGGATCTGAACATAATAATATTAAAAAAATACTTTTTTTCTCTGTAAAAAAATAATATTTTCCCTCGTTTCTTCAGTCTAAATTTTTATTCCGAAAAGCCGAATAAATTTCAAAAAGTTTCGATTTTTTTCAGGAGCGCTAGCTCATAAGAACAAGGATCTGATCATATTAATGTTAAAAAAATACTCTTTTTCCCTGTAAAAAAAAGGTTTTCCCTTGTTTCTGATGTCTGAATTGTGTTATGGAAGCCGAATAAATTTCAAAAAAACCACTGAAATCCCTTCCAATTTGATTATTAAAATTCAGAACAAGCCCTTTTTTTCTTCCTGAATATCTCACTTTTTTTGAGTTTTTACAGTGTATTCTCTCAGGTCATTGACGGATTCTTCGAAGCCGCCTGTGCCTGTGAACTTTTGAAGTTCTACTATCCGTTGAAGATCAACGTCAGCAAGCAGACACACATCGAACCCGTCGAAGTTCATTACCAAGCCCACGCCGCTGCTTGGAAATATATTTCTCAATGGTTTGTAAGAAAAAAATAGGGAAGAATAGGATAAATAATGGTTTTAATACTAATAAACTATAGATTTTTACTAAAAAGAGTTAATCATTCAGAGAAAAAAATATAATGAAATATGTAGAATAATTCTGAAAAAGCTTGTGGAATCCATATGGAACTCTCATATTCACAAGGAAGAGCTTTTTTTCGTATGAATTTTTAAAAAAATTTTGAAGCTTTCTTTAGGGTTTTCTTTTCCAGTTTTTCAACAAAAAAACCGTTTCGAACTGCTATAACTTTGCAAAAAAATTTCTAAGAAAATATTTTTAATCGGCGAATTTCAGCGAAAAATCCGCCGGTTGAGACGTTGGTCAAGCTTCTGGCCTATTTGAGAACCTTCCAGGCGCATAAGGTTGGATTTTCGAACAATTTTAAGGATAGTAAGGAAGGAAATTATGTATTTTTATTGAAAAAATGTCGGTTCTGTGCTTTTTTTCGAGAATATTGTATGTCGTCTAGGGTTTTCAGGCTTCAGAACAGTTCCCCATTCAAAAAAATGGGGTTTTTGAATTGAATTTCCGGTAATTTTGGTGGCTTAGAACACCTTTTTCTCTCGATTTTTGGGTCATTGGGGAAAAAGAAAAAAAGAAGTAAAAAAATGAAAAATTTTGATTATAAAAAGGGCTTTTTTTACTGATGAGGTGTAGAATGGATTTATTTGCACAGCGGATTTTTTTTTAATCTATAAGTTTTCTTAAATTTTTGAGCTTCTTTCTTATTTTTTCTTCCGACTGAAGAAGAAAAATCAACTTTCTTGGTTTAAGGTTGTCAAAAACGGAAATAGCCTTTTCTCGACAAATCCTGAACTTCAAGAGGTCGCGATTGAGCTGACGGTGATGACTGCACGGAATTTGGAGCTGGAAGAGTGGGGTCAAGATGATGAGGCGGCGAGAATGGTGATTATTGACGTTTTCTGATGGAAAACAGCTGGAAAATCACATTTTTTGAGGGAAAATACATCAAATTTCTTGTTTTGGTATCTTTTTTTCGTTTTATATAGCCTTTCGTTCCATAAAATCAGCATTTCTTTGATCTTTTGCAAGAAAAAGCTTGGGCCCAGTCAATCTTACGAAAAATATTGATTAAATATCATATTTTGAATGTTAGTTTTGGCTTGAAATTACCGATTTGAGCCAGATTTTTCAAAAATATTGCAATTTGAAAGAGTTAGACAGAAGCTTTTGATGAATAAAAATGGCCTATATTTGACGATCCAAAAAAACATGATTTTTCTTCTCTTTTCATTTATTGCGATTGTGGGAAAATTTCCTTTTTTTCTTACATTTTACAACACCATTTTGCAGGTTTCTGATGTGCTGACCCAAACCGAACTCCTGGAAGAAATCGAGAAACTCTGCTTCAAAGGATTCGAAGTAATCAATTTTTCTCGATTCAAGATGTTTCAATTTTCAGGTTGTTTGTGAACGATTCCCCCACATGAAAGCTCATTATCGGTTGGCGGAGATGAACTTGGCCCGTGGAAAGTTGGTTTTTGGATTAACCAGGAAAAGCTGTAGTGGGTCCTAAAGGGATTTTAAGATTTAGTGGGTCCTATAGGGAATGTTTAAGGAGGAGAAAATGGAAAGACCCCATATAGGGTCCCATAGAGGGGGGTCCTTTAGTATACCTACACCTGGGGGTTTCTTCTATAGGATACACTAAAACTTTTCCTAGAAGGAAGATCGAAGAAATGAAAAATTTCCTTTTTTTAAGAGGTCCTGTAGCCTTCCCGTTTGTTATACCGTGTTTAAAAGTGATTCCCCGCGAAATTCAAAAGAGCCGTCAGAGAGTGAGAAAGACAACTTGATTCCGGAGAGTCAGAGATAATTTTTATTTATCCGGAAATTATCGTACATCGACCCTTCTTGCACAGGAAGAATTTTAATTGACAACTAATTTTTTCATTTTTATACCGTTTTCAGGGAAGAAGCCGCGTCGGCCCATATCCTGAAGAATATCTTCAAACGGAAGAAAAGGGGCGATAACCTTTTTGATGTTGGTTTTTAAAATTATTTCAGTAAAAAAAGTTTCTTAGGCCTTTTTTCTGGATATATCAATTTCGGAACATCTTATTTACGATTTTCCATTATCAGAAATGCGGAGACAACTTTTTGAGCCATTCCTTCTTACTGTAGCAGGGTTACGGTAGGCAGGATCTAAGTATTGGAGAGTTTTTACTAGGCAAGTATCAAACGATAGGTAATCCAATGTTAGGAACTTTTCAGTACAAAACATCTTGGATTACTGTAGAAATTTTTGAGACTCCTTTCGGACCTTGGTTAAGCACTGGACGTGAACCGGATGTGTTTGAGAATTCTTAGTGACCACTTTAGTAGCGTCAGCGCACTTTAGTGATCCCTAGAATTGCTTAGAAACGTCAGGTTCCAGCGTAAGAAGATCCCTAGAACTCGAGAACAGCTTTTTCCTACCTTTTTTCAAAAATGAAGACATTTTCAACGTATTTTTATTCCATAAAAACTTGATACCATTTTCAAAATGGTTTCAGAATGTCGTGGAAATATCCTGTAGCGATATCAATCGCGTAGGTTCCTTCAATTCGCACGTGGAACGGTGTCTGATGATGGCGATTCGATTGGTCGCCAAATCCAAGGACGTTGCCACCCTCGTCTCCATCATCATAACCCTGATCACTGTTATTGAATATGATGATAAGTGAGCTCAAAACAGGGATAATCTGTTTCATGTCGAAATTCAGAGCTTTTATCGACACCGATGTTCATGAACCCCTACTTCGGCTATCGATTTCGGTTCTGAGAAGGATTTGCTTCCCAAAAAATGGTGTCATTCCGTCTCCGGACACTCTGAAGACCGAGATTTTCCGACTTTTGACGGCTCTGGAGTCGAAGTTGGTCTTCAGCACAGAAAGTTTTGAAAATCAAGAAGTTTCAGGCAAAAATCCAAGAAGATGATCTTGTGGACGACGAAGAATTGGCTGGAGAAGGCGATCATTGAAAAGTGAGGGATTTTTTTTTTTTGATTGACATTTTTCAATCTCTTTGAACGCTCTGAACGCATTTGGACTGGCTTGCGATTTGAAAAACTCACGTTTTAAGTGTCTCCAAATTTTTCATACCGCGCAAGTCGTATTGGGTCGGTTGCATCTTCAAAGCCATTCCTAGTGCGGCCACTATACAATTTTTGACTGATCTTATTCAGAAGGTCTATTGAAAATTTGGAATGGCTTGCGGTTTGAAAAACTGAAATTTTGAGTGTCTCCAAGTTTTCCATACCGCGCAAGTTGTATTGGGTCGGTTGCACATTCTAAGCCATTCCTAGTGCGGCCATTGTACAAGTTTTGAGTAATATTATTTAAAAGGTCTTCAAAGAACTCGAAATTTTAGGGAGCAACTTTTCGGTATTTTTTTTCTGTTTTTTGCATTTTTTGGGGCATTCTCACTAAATCTTTGACTGAAAAATTGCCTTTTTTGTACTTCTAAGCAATAAAAATGAATTTTTGAAGTATTTCGTTCAGGTTGTTCGGTAATTTGGAGCAGTTCAAGATGAGGATGACTACTTTGGAGGAATTTACGAAGAAACGAGTTCCAAAGGTATTATTTTTGACTCGATTTTTCCTGAATTGCAAAAAAATTTTTTTCAAAAAAATTTATTCAGAAGAACAAGGGTTTCTAAATAATCAATTGAGGTAAAGTTCATTTTTAGAGGTAGAACAAAGAAGCAGGGACTTGGGATTGGAAAAAAATATAATTAAAAAGCAAAAAAATGAAACGAAAATTGGAAATCGGTAAGGCTGGAGGTAATTTTGAACGGAATAAAATAAAAAAATCAACAAGTTCAGGGCAAAAATAAGAGCGAGAAATCAACGTTAGGCTGAAGAGACGACAGAGAAACACGATTTTTCTCATTTCTAGAGGCTATTCAAGCTCTAACAAAAGCAAGAAACAAGAAAAATTTAAAAAAAACTGACGAAATAAGCGGAAGTGAGAGATCAACGTTAGCTGCAGAGGGGCCAGAGAAAATAGAGTGCTTGGGTTTCTGTGCCGTCTTGTCAACGGAACTCTCACTGTTGATTTAAAGGGCCAAAGAAAAAAAAAAGTAAACAAGCGAGAGATCACGGGTGGCTGCAGAGGGGCCAGAGAAAAGAGAGTATGCCGTCTCGTCAACCGAACTCTCACTGTTGATTTAAAGGGCCAAAGAAGAAAAAAAGTAAACAAGCGAGAGATCAACGGTGGCCTGAAGAGATGTCAGAGAAACGACAGTATTCGGTCACCTCATACCTCCAAATATTAATATACAAAGATGCCGAGGTTTTCGAGTTGCATCGAAATTTTTTTGGTATCTTGGGGTCGCGAGGATTTCAAGCAGTATTTTCTGTTATTAGGGCACCGTTTTCGTCGACTAGTGCTCCGGGAGGGTACCTCTACCTCTACCGCCTGCTTTGGGGCCACAGCAGTTGTTTCTTCTTGAGTGTCGGTTGATCTCTGGATACTGGCAGAATAGACGCTGGTGCTCAAGATGAACAGGAAGAGGGCGATAAGAAGGATGTTCCTCTGCATCTTGTTTGAGGAATCGGGCAGCTGTCCGATGTTCTTGCCTGAATTATAGAATTTCTTGCGGAGGCGAACGGAAAAAAAAGAGAATTTTCCTCGGAACTTTTTCGAAGAAGAGAAACACTCTTGAGTTATTTTTCCGGCGTGTGCCAAGGTCACAAGGAGAACTTTTCCTGGTGAAAAGTCGGTATTTTTTTTTTCGGGAAAAAAAGAAGCTTATCTAACAGTGCTTTCAAAACGAATTGATACAGAATCTTGTGAAAAAAAACCTTTTTTGGAAAACTGTGGGAAATTCCCGAGTCAAAAGTCCGGCGTGTAGTGTGAAGGTTCACGGAGAGAACACAAGGAATCTGAAAAGGAAAATTAAACGGAACAAAAGGTAACGTTTTTCTGGGGGGAAAAGTCGGTATTTTTCCGGGAAACGAAAAAGAAGCTTATCTAACAGTGATTTCAAAACGAGTTGATACAGAACCTTGTGAAAACGAACCTTTTTTTCCGAAACTGTGAAAAAAGTCCGCCGTGTAGTTTGAAAGTCACGGAGAGAACAGATAGATCTGAAAATAAAAATTGAACGGGAAAATGCAAATTTTTTCGTAGTAAGAAGAGATTTTTAGTAATTTTTGAATGGATTGGGCAATACTTCAGAACGGATAATTTAATGAGAAAAACAAAAAACATAAGAAAAAGCGAAAAGGAGAAAGAATGGAATGCTTGTGGGACAGGACGCCTGGTGACCTGACCTACATGTAGGCGTGACAATGGCACGCCTCCTTGTGTTCGTGCCAATGGCACGCTGCCTTCTCGTTCTCACGCAAAAGTGAAGTGACAATTACGTGCCAATGTCGCTTTTGCGCTCAGCACCCATACCAATTAAGAGTTCTGAGCTGCTTCAATAATGAACCAAGAACAATGTCGGTTCTACCCACATCTAACGTGGGTAGTGCAAAAGGAATTTGATGAAGCGTGGTATATAGGTACTTTCAAACACCCTGAATCCAAAAAAGTTGAAAAAAAGTGCGCCTTTTTGGTTCTAGTCGAGTTATGGCGCCTCAATGTTGCACGCAAAAAATGTGTTTCAAAATTTTGAGCGTTTTTTTTAAAATTCCATCTTCAAAGCTTCATCATTATTCTCAAGAAAAAAACTGGCAAAAATAAATTCCATCTCAGAAGATTCGAACCTGGATCATAGATCCCACAGCGCAAGGCCGCTCGCCACTACACCACGCTGCCGCAACACATTCTCTCCTTCCCTCCAATGAATTTTTTGTTTTCAAATTTTGAGGAATAACTCGACTAGAACCAAAAAGGCGCACTTTTTTTCAACTTCTCTGGATTCAGGGTGTCCGAAGGTACCTATATCATAAGTTTCATCAAATTCCAATACATCGACTTTTCGCAAGGCCCGGTGAAGCCTTGCGCGGTTATACTTGTTCAAATTCAGTGTCCTTTGAAAAATCTGAGGAACAGTGGAAAAATGAATAAATCAAACATGGAACAAGAAGATGATCATCAAGACATTTTCAAAAATTAATTTTTTCCTGTTTCCAGAAAAGAAAGACAGGCGGACCTCTGGATTTCTTGCCGCCACCGCCGAAGCAGCCAGTCCCAGCGAAGCCTTCACTCGCAGCGTCGCCTTCAGTCTCGAGGCCTTCAGTCGCAGTAAAGCCTCCAGTCGCAGCGTCGCCTTCAGTCGCGAGGCCATCAGTCGCAGTGAAGCCTCCAGTCGCAGCGTCGCCAGCCCGACCCCCAGCGACCGATCCGGCGGTCGTGAACCTTCAAAACATGATCGTCGCCGCCCAGAACGGCGAATTAACCCCCAACGAGTTGATGGAGATCATGTTGAGCCAAATGCGTAATTTGTAGTGAATCCCGTTCACAGGGCAAAGTCGGAAAGGGTGGAAAAAGGCTGCATAGGAATGTTCCCATTTTGCTGCCTTTTTTCACCTTTCTCGAGCCTTTCAAATCCCAGAAATGGAAGGCTCGATAAAGGGACCCTTTTTGCTGCCTTTTTGCGGCCTTTTTTTAGCCTCTCCCTTTTAGCGGCCATTATCCATCATTCCGACTTTGCCCGAGTTCTTTTTAAAGCCCGTTTATAGCTTCTTCTGTGTACATTTTGGTTATTTATTCATTTATTCTTTCTTATTTTCTTCATTTTGATTCATTCAGCTTGAAATTCGCATTTTAATTCAATTTTTCAAGGATTATGTGCGAAATTTGACTGATTTTGTCAGAAAAATTACCCAAAATTCAATTTTCCTGCGGTTTTGAAACAGTTGATTGATTGCCAGACTTTGTAAAAAGTTTAATTAAATCCTAATCTTTATATTATTCTCATTTGAATATTTTTTTTTCTGCTTAGTCAAATTTATTCTGTATTTTTCTTCCAATTACTATTAAGTAAGACTCTAACTTTCACTATCCCTTCTCACACTTATCATATATTCGGTTCAGAAATTACGAGGTTTTATCATTCATATTGATCTTATTTCCCGTTGATACATGACTGGTTTCAAAAAAAAAAAATCTTTTTTGAAATGTAATTTTTTTCATGGGATAGGTTGGTTTCAAGACCTCCTTGTGTATTTTATGTACGTAGTTTTGAATATTATTTTTTGAAAAGCTCAATTTTAAGAATAATCCGATGGATTGCTTCGTTGGAGCGTCGACGGGCGCTCTGAAAGGTGGGGGATTTTTTTATTTTTATCAGAAAATCAAAAAGGTTTAATTTTTAGAAGAATAAGAGTTGAAGAAAACTAGATTTTTAAAAAGAAATTTAAAAAAAGATAAGACGAGTTTACGTAATTTTTTTATGAAATTTATCAAAATTTTTGATTTTTTTGTAAGATCACATCTGTTTTAAATTGGTCAAAAATTGAGCCGAAAAAAATGTGAAATTTTTCCCATTTTTTTCAAAAAAAAATAGTTTTCCCAGCTTAAAAATAGTTTGGAAGTGTTATTTGATGGAAAAATGATTCGAAGTCAAAAAAATGACGTTTTGAATCAACGTTTTTTTGGTTTTTTTAGTTCGGCGGCAATGATTTTGTTGTAGGAAATATCCACGAGATTCAACAAAAAAAAATTTTTTCAACAATTTTATCGAAAAATTTAACTTTCTGATCAATTTCCTGTGATTTCCTTGCAATATCATGATTTAAAGTTCAAAAAAAGCTAAGTTTCCGGTTTTCATTTAACTTTTCAAGTAAACCTTCTCATGGTGAAAAAATCAAAACAGTTCATTTTTTTCAGCAATCAGTCTCCGTGACAACTCTTTCCTCAATCTCAACGTCATCAAGGATTTACAACCGAAAAAGGATGAAATTACGGCAATGGCCTGGAACGACGAGAATCAGGTCGTTGTTTTGTGAATTTTTGAAGAAAATTGAGGTATCAAAAACATTTTTCAGAGAGGGAAAAAAGTTCAAAAAGACTGTTAAAAAGGGTACTTTGGGATTATTACAGAATGCTCCCCCTCCCACTCTTGTAGGAAATCTAGAAGGGTGTGGGGGGATGGGCACTCTTGAAGATTGCCTGGGCATTTTAAAATCGTCCCCCACTTAGCACTGTGGGCGATTTTGGAATTTTTTTCGTTGCCTTTTTGAATATTATTTCTGTCTTTTTCTCTGTTCCAATTTGTCACGTTACTGTCTTTTTTTCTTACTGTTAGAAATTTTTTTGAAAAGTTGAAGCCATAATTTTCATGGTATTAAATTCCAGTCGGAGCTTCTCATCGCCCAACTCGATCGAAAATTGAGGCTTTTCGATGCGGACACCAACGAAAGCGAGACTTTATTCAATGTTGAAGGTGGACAGGGCCCTGTGAAAGGCCTATGTCGCACTAATGACGGGTTTTTCAAAGTTCAAAGCTCCTTGCAATGCTTTTTATTTAAAGAGAGAACCTTATAACGTGTGTGCAGAGCGGCGTTTTGAAAGTCTGGGACGACAAAGGCGAAGAAAAAGCCGAATGGACCGTTGGACCTGGTGTCAGTGCGATGAGGGGTCAGTTTCAACTGAAATTTCTGGATTTCCAGCCTTTTTACTGCGTAGTTTTACTGTTAAAACTGAGGCCGTATGCAGAAACCAAGTGGAGGACCTGAAACCCCTATAGGGACCACTTTTTCAGCCCCTATGAGGGCTGTTTTTATCCTTAACCCCTATAGGGACCACTTGAGCTTCAGGGGCTAAGGGGTCAGACTAAACCCCTATAGGGACCACTTTTTCGGCAACTATAAGGGATTTTTTCTCCCTAATCCCTATAGGGACCACTTAAGCTTGAGGGGCTAAGGCATCAGACTCCAAATCTCTATAGGCTTTCCCTTGATTTTACCTCTATAGGGGTCCCTTTTCCGCCCGAATCCCTATGGGGACCAGTCTAAAATGTCTAAGTATAGTCAATCCTTTTTGACTTGAAAGGCGATATGAATAGGGTTTGAAAAAACCCCTATAGGGACCACTTCAGCTTTAGGGGCTAAGGGGTCAGACCTTAAAACCCTTGTAGCCACCCCTTTGATGTTACCTCTATAGGGACCACTTCCCCCTAATCCCAATAGGGACCAGTCTAAAATGTCTAAGTATAGTCAATCCTTTCCGACTTGAAAGGCGATATGAGTGGATTTTGAAAAAATGCCTATAGGGACCACTTCAGCTTTAGGGGCTAAGGGGTCAGACCCTCAACCCCTACAAGGACTATTTTTTCAGCCTCTATAGGGACCACTTGTTACCCCCTAATCCCTATAGGGATCAGTCTAAAATGTCTGTGGGGGGCTAAGGGATCAGACTAAACCCCTATAAAGACCATTTTTTTCAGCCTCTATAGAGACCGTTTCCCCCCACCCCTAATCCCTACAGAGACCACTCAGGGACGCCTAAATATCATGAAATATTTCATTTACTTTTCTAGGGTCAACCGAGAAAAACGAGGTTGTCACCGGCGGAATCGCGAATCTCGTGAAAACTTGGGACATCGAGACGAATAAGCAGACGTGGGCGGCGAAAAATGTGACATTTTTCGAAATTTCAACTGAAAAAGAACTCTTTGAAGGTTCCGCCAGACTTTTTGCAACTCGAAGTTCCGATCATGTGCACGGATGTGAGGTTCATCCCCGGTCAGAATACGATCCTTGAAGCGACGAGGCATCATGAAGTGAGAGAGGGAGTTTGGAAGGGGAAAGTGATCCCTAAAGTTGGGGAAATGGAGAGTTTTTGCAGTAGTTTTGACCTTTTTTGCCCAAAATTTTGAAATTGCTGCAGAAAATGGCTTTGGTGCATTTTCATGTACCGAGAAGCGCAAATCGGAATCTCTTAATTATTTTTTTGAAATCCTTATATTGAGAAAAAGCTCAATGACTCTCCAGGGGGGCTTAAAACTGAGCATTTCCAAATCCATTTAGTGGCCACTTGAACACTAGAGGGAGAAGATCATGAGAACGTACGTACTCCTCGTATAGTTTGTTCATATTTTGAATTTCAAGTACAATGACGTCATTCGAAAGCGCTCTGTAGATGGCTCGCTCTCTGACTGGCTTTTCGGGCCATTAGGGGCGGAGCTTTAGAAGCGACTTGACATTCAAAATAAATCTAAACGGACTATAGTGGATACTTAAGAGAAACGTAAGAAACTGTTTTGTGGATACTCTCTTTTCTGAAGATAATGTCAAACTTTCACGTTTTTCATTTTTTTTTTTCTTCGCTCTTATCATTTTTCGAAAATCTTTTCAGTCGTTATCATTATTTTGAGTTTTTTTTTACTTCCAACTTCCCCATCCCAGATGCGCTTGTACGACCCGAGAGCCCAACGAAGACCTATCGCCAAAATTCGATTCCTGGAAAATCCCATCACGACCACTTCCCTATGTTATAAGCCGAATCATGTCCTGGCCGCGAATTCAATCGGAGAAATGGGACTGTTCGATTTGAGGAGCAAAGGTTTGATTTTATGCGTATCTTTGTTAGAATGGCTGGGGAAGAAATCATCGTAAGAGGGCCAAAATGGGCCGAAAATGCTTCGAAATTAAAAAAAGAAGAAGAACTGTCTTTCAATTTTGTGTAACGTAGAAATTCTTGGTAGGTTATAGAGAAATAAAAGTTGAATAAATTTCCTTTTTGCCCAGTTTTTCCTTTTGTCCACTTCAACGATTACAGCAAAAAAAATGATAAATCTGCATGAATTGCTATAGCTGATTCAGGGCTCGCCTGAGCCATCGAAAAATCGAAAAATGGGTCTTGACACGATAAAACAGGAGACAATGTCTGGTTGTTCGAGAGCGCAGACAGGCCACGCTCCTTAGGATCTTAGTTAGCCGTGAAGGAATCAGGCTATTATTTCGTAGAGAAAATGTGCTCCTGGGATAATTTGGCGGTACTAGTTGAGGTGTCATTTCAGCCCCATTCACAACTTTCACTCAACTGAGCCTTTTTAAATTTTCACAGGCTTCAGAAATTTTATATGCGCTCTAGTGATAAATCGGTTCAATCAGAGTACTGAAAAGGAAAAACTAGCACGGCTACTATGAGCCATGGAAAAAATGGTCCTGACATGATAAAAAAAAAAGAGACAGTGCCTGGTTGTTGGAGAGCGCAGACAGGCCACGCCCCTACACGTTCCAAGCTATCCGTAAATCGTCTGTAATCCGTTTTTCGCGGCTTGAAAGAGGGGGACTTCTCTGCGAGCTCCTTTTCTCTCAACATCTATCTCATGTTCACGTGCTATTTCCATTTTTCTCTAATCTGAGGGAACAGAGAGACGCAGACACGCGAAAACTGTCAAATCGCGGCGGACGGACTATAGAAAACTTGGAGAAACTTGAAATTGATATCAAATTTAAGCTGGAGCCAGGCGGGTATTATAAA